GAGGGGAGGAAGAAGAAGAAAGAAGAAGAAAAAGAAGGAGGAGAAGAAGGAGGAGAAGAAGAAGAAGAAGAAGAAGAAGAAGAAGAAGAAGATTAGGAAGAAGAAGAAGAAGAAGAAGAAGAAGAAGAAGAAGAAGAAGATTAGGAAGAAGAAGAAGAAGAAGGAGGAGGAGGAGGAGGAGGAGGAGGTTTCGGTCCCTGCTGCCTCCTTGGCGTCCCCTTGAAGTGGAGGCTCAGCATGGCCATCAAGTGATTCAAATCATATGCGTCTAATCGCGTTTGCTTCGAGGTGCGTTTTGGGGTTCAAGACGCACGCCAGACGATGTAGCTTTTGGCTGTCAAGTATTTGCCATCTTGAGAATCGTTGGGTGAAGAAAATAGACACTTTGATGTCTCCGTATTTTTTATGTTAAGGCGTTGCTTGATGTCTTGGTATTTTTTATATTAAAGCGTTGTCCTTGTGTTTTTTTTTCACATAAAAAAAATATATATCCTGGGAAATATTTGTGTATAGCCTGGGTGTTGTGGATTAGCATTCTGGGTATTCTCAGCGCAACTGAGGGAGGTCAGTCAGCAGGTAGGCTCTCTCTCTCGCAGCTTTTGGGGCGCAGGGGGACGGGGTGCGTGAATCATATCTCTCCCTCTTCTTCTTCCTCTTACTCTCTCTCCGTCACCCCTCTCCCTCTTCCTTCTTCTCCCTCTTCCTTCTTCTCCCACTCCCTCTTCCTCCTTCTTCCTCTCCCTCTCTCTTCCTTAGCAGTTTTGTGCCCATTCAGTTTTGTTTATATTATTTAAAAGCGGTTGTGTGACACTTTCATGAAGGAAGAGATTGAAAATAATTGGATGGATGCAAAATGACGGTGCTTGAATTCGTCCCTTTGAAACAGAGGGAATTGTGATAAATGTAAGAAAAAATACGTGTGAAGGAGAATGAATCGCGTGACAGCGAAGGCGGTGTACTTTCATTTGACTTGATCTTGCTCTGTTGCAAGAAGGATCGGAGGTCGTTGGGAGTCTCTCTCCGGCAGCGCATCCATCACCAGAACTAGAGGATTGGAACGCCTTTACCCTGATTTGCAAATGTTTGTCGAAAGCGGAACGTGTGTGCGGCGGAAGACAGGAGAGCAAAAGGGCGTTCGATTCCATGTCTTCATCAGGAGCTCCCTGCGCCGAGAAGTCCTCGATCGCCATTCATATTCCTCTGGCTCCGCTGGCTTGGTCGGCGGGCAAGAGGGGGCGCCGCTGGCTCTTCATTTTCATTGGGATCAGGTTATTCACTCAGAGCGAAAGGAATGTTCGAAAATGGCGGACATGCGAGGGTTTCGGCGCGCCCTCGCCGAGAGGTTCTTGGCCATGAGACAGAGTTTCACCTTTACTTGGAAGCGCGAAAGAAACCACGGTCTTACGAGATGTTAATGGTGTCTTTGTTTACCATTTCGAAAGTATTTCTACCCTTGTCTTATCGGTTAACGGTTAGAAGTGTTCACCTCTTCTAGGAAGTGATAGATTTAACACGTAGATTTCTCCCTGGAATTCTGATCATTGCAAGAGGGATGTTTTACAAGTGCTAAGCCTTTATACTGATCCCTCCATCATGTTGATAAAGGTCATCTTTAAAACAGTTATTTAAGATCGCTTTGGGGAATGTTAAGTAAAGTTTATTGGCGGGGTCAGAGTGCGTTGGAAATGTCTGCCTTGCAACATATTCACGACAAGAGGGAAAGGCTGTTTGGCCGTCAGTTATCTTCTAAATTATTGAAGACTGGTTTGCGGAACGCCAAGTAATGCTCATCCGCAAGATCGGAGTACAACATATTCCGGCAACATATTTTCCCCTAGAAACTGTTTGAAAAGCAATCCCAGTAGAATCCCAGTACTCTTGAAAGTCGTTTTATATTTACGCTCCCTGACAGCCATAGTGTTCCTCAAAAGCATGTCATCTGCGTGAGATAATTGCCATCTTTCATCAGCGTGCAAATTTCCTTTATTAAAGAGAACTGTGACTTTCTCTTTACCATGGAGTCGATGTTGGCAGGCAGGCAGTAATCTGTGTGTGAACAGCATGCGAATCTCGGGATTGGTCATTCAACGCGTCCAGTTCGATCTGAATAACCAATCAGTGATTAGTATGGGCGGCGCGGGAAAATTTAAAGAGGACCTGGCGATACGTTAGAAAGGGCTGGTGGTATTACATCATAGAATAACCGATCTTTTGACTTCGTTCCTCTTTATTCTAGCCCAAGTTAGCTCGCGAGTTATTATCGGAATTCGGAATGGAATACCGCTGAGTTACCAGTATGTTACTTCACCGATCTGGCAACACCGAGGAAAGGAGCGCCTGTACCCTGATTTGCAAATGTTTGTTGAAAACGGGACCTGCACTCGGCAGAAGAAGGCGGCAGGCAGCAGGAGAGAGGGAAGGGAGAAGGGAAGTCAAATCTCTAGTGTTTGGTCAGAGCAGCAGACATCAGCAGGTAGCAACAAAAACATCAGCAGACTTCCCCTGACATCGGTAGACTACAGCAGACATCACCCGACATCAGAAAACAGCGTCAGGCATTAGCAGACATCGGCGGACATCACCTGACATCAGAAAAGAGCGTCAGACATTAGCAGACATCGGCGGACATCACCTGACATCAGAGAAGAGCGTCAGACATTAGCAGACACACAGACACAGCAGGCATCGGCGGACATCCCCTGACATCAGAGAAGAGCGTCAGACATTAGCAGACACGGACGGACACCAGCAGGCATCGGCGGACATCCCCTGACATCAGAAAAGCGTCAGACATTAGCAGACACGGACAGACCACAGCAGGCATCGGCGGACATCCCCTGACATCAGAGAAGAGCGTCAGACATTAGCAGACACGGACGGACACCAGCAGGCATCGGCGGACATCCCTGACATCAGAGAAGAGCGTCAGGCATTAGCAGACACGGACAGACACCAGCAGGCATCGGCGACATCCCCTGACATCAGAAAAGAGCGTCAGGCATTAGCAGACACGGACAGACACCAGCAGGCATCGGCGGACATCCCCTGACATCAGAAAAGAGCGTCAGGCATTAGCAGACACGGACAGACACCAGCAGGCATCGGCGGACATCCCCTGACATCAGCCGCCAGCTCTCAAGGTCTCAAGCGCCGCGGCTGCTCCTCGCTCGCGTCCAGGCGATCGCATTACACGGGACGGCGCAAACCTCGGCTCGAAAAGCCCCTCGCGAGATCGGGGAATTGTCTCTTGCTCGCATTTCCCGGCGGGGCCCGGCGTGTGTGTGCGCGGGGAGGGGGAGGGGGAGGAGGGGAGTTGGAGGAGGGGGAGGTGGAGGAGGTGGAGGAAGAGGGGGAGTTTAGAAGTAGTAGGAGTAAGAGGGGGAGGTGGAGGTGGTGATGCTGGTGGAGGAGGAGGGGGAAGAAGTGGAGGAGGGGGAGGGGTGGAGGAGTGCATACGCGAGGCAGGATGAGTATTTTCCCGCTCCTTGCGATGATGATGCTCCGCCTCGACGGCCAGCCTCGTCCTCTACCTCCTCTTCTTCTTCTTTCTTCCCTCCCTCCCTCCTCCTCTCTCTCCTCCTCCTCCTCCTCCTCCTCTCCTCCCCCTCCTCCTCCTCCCCCTCCTCCTCCTCCCCCTCTCCTCCTCCTCCCCTCCTCCTCCTCCTCCTCCCCTCCTCCCTCCTCCCCTCCTCCTCCTCCTCCCACCATCCCTCCCCATGCCGGCCAAGGAGCTACTCTGACACAGCGCTGGATTATTCGAACACTTAAAGCACTTGCATACTCGGGAATGGTATTACCTGTTCCCTGAGAGCGGTTTCTCTCTCTCTCTCTCTCTTTCTCTTTCTCTTTCTCTGTGTCTGTGGCTGGCTCTCTGTCTCTCTGTCTCTCTGTCTCTCTGTCTCTCTGTCTCTCTGTCTCTCTGTCTCTCTGTTCTCTCTGTCTCTCTCTCTCTCTCTCTCTCTCTCTCTCTCTCTCTCTCTCTCTCTCTCTCTCTCTCTCTCCTCTCTTCTCTCTCTCTCTCTCTCTCTCTCTCTCTCTCCTCTCTCTCTCTCTCTCTCTTTCTTTCCTTTCTCTCTCCTCTCTCTCTCTCTTTCTCTCCTTCTCTCTCTCTCTCTCTCTCTCTCTCTCTCTCTCTTCTCTCTCTCTCTCTCTCTCTCTCTCTCTCTCTCTCTCTCTCTCTCTCTCTTTTTTCTTCCCTGTGTCTGTGGCTGGCTCTTCTTTTCTCACTCCCCCCCCCCCTCTCTCTCTCTCTCTCTCTCTCTCTCTCTCTCTCTCTCTCTCTCTCTCTCTCTCTCTCTGCTCTCTCTCTCTCTCTCTCTCTCTCTCTCTCTCTCTCTCCTCTTTCTCTCATACCTTTCGTGCTT